ACTTCATTCTATCTTTTTTTTTTATTGTATAACTAAGATAGAATGAAGCAACGCGCGTTGCTTTATTTATCTTAATTATATAATGAATGGCAAAAAAAAGATAGAATGAAGTTTACAGCATGAGCACCCAAAGCAGATGGACCTCATGTCTACTAGTGTTATATACGCTCCTAAGCGTCGAACGGCATTTGGATTGCACGCGGGGTAATAGATAAAGAGTAGCGAAAGGCGGAGTCAATCGAAAATTGGCCGAGAAGTGTAAATCGTGCCGAGCAATTAATCAAATGAAGTCGAGAATTCGATTCCTCGTCTCGTTTGAAAATCGATTCTTTTCGAATTTATCCGATTCCATCAGAGAGAAATTCGAGAGAGGACATGAAGGCCTTTTTCTTGTAATCGTAAAATGCCTTCGTGCACTACTGTCCTCTGAAGAAGTGGATATCAACTACACGACATCCATTCTTTTGTAATGCTCCTGATGGAAATAAATCGTTGAAATCATTGAAATAGCTATTAATTTGATAGATTTATTTCAGCGATTAAACGGATTACTAAATTTATATTGGCCTTTTTTGCGAGTATTTATAGATTTATTTTTTACATTTTTATTTTTATTTCTAATTATTTTATTTATTTACTTTATTTCACTAATCATTTTGCTAAACATTTATATTAATATACAAATTTTAATATTATCGATTTAATAATATCGTCGATGAAAAGAGGCTGCTCTGTTTTTACTAAATGTATTTGCAATTTGCAAAAAAAAAGTTTAATTTCAGAGGAACTGAAAAGTTAATGAAAAAACAAAATCAATAAATTAACGAAATGACATTTTATAATACAATTTTATTAGTAACATGTATACAAATAAGGGTAAAATAATTGAAAAATATCTTAGAAAACAATATATATTACACACATATAAATATATATATACTGCTTTTCTGCACCAACTTATATAAAATTTAATCCTGAATGAATATTTAGGAATAAGATAAGTAGGAAAAATAATAAAATACTTGTTATACTGTAATAAACTTCTTTTGTTATGATATCTATAAATAGACAACATTTTTATTTGCACTAATTACTTTTTATGTATATTCTTTACATTTTTTAATTTCCTGTTTTTCATATATTTAAAAAATATAAATATTTGATTATCTCTTGTTTTTACTTTCAATGTTTTAAGACGTAATATTCTAATGTAAAACATATTTATATTTATATAAAAAACGACCACATTAAAAAAGTCGATCTATTTTTATCATACTTTTTGAGATTGAATTACTTAGAGAGTATTAACATTATTATGGCTTTTTGTTACTTATGTGAATCATTTAATTCTGTCATTCACGTCTTATTTCGCATTCTTATTCCGGAAAAAGTAATAGATAATTATATTTAAACTATATATATCTCTAAGTATACATATATATATATATATATATTGTATATATGTATATATATATATATATATACATATATTTCTAAATCATGTAGAACAAGTCATACACATGCATTCTATTTGACAAAATCTTTACATGGATTTCTTTTTTTATCAAATATATTTAAATCATTTTAATAATTGAAAAGACTGGCAAGAACAAGAACTGTAAAAGACTTAACGTGAAGATTGTATGTACAATTATTAAACATTTTATATTTAATCTTTCCTGGATATGCAATACCGTTTCATAATAACGCTGAAAACTCAAGTGTTCAACCAGGTTTGTTTATGAATTGCGTTTAAATTGTATCGTATTTTGTTATCTCATAGTCTCTGATTAACT